AATTTCATTGTCAATCTCTCATCATGTCTGAATCTTCTTAAAGTACATTCGCGATACTTTCTTCTTATAAAGCTAATCAAGTTTGAGTTGGCAACAGGGTCACTGATCAATTCGTCGCAATACAATTCGTTGCACGACAATTCGTCGCAGAGAAAGAAAAGAGTATAATAATTGAATTAAGTGATTTCGTTTATTTTGTTTTTCAATTAATCACCTCAACAAAAATTTTTTCACTTAAAATAATACGAGTATTTTTTGACTGTATTTTTTTTTATTAAAAAACGACAGAAATTTCGATTTACAGTTTATTTATTTTAATTTAAATGGACTAAAAATAAATTTTAACTCGAAATAGAATTCTACAAACTTTAATTAAAAATAAATTAAAATTTTTTGCATTCAAATGTTATATGAATATAGTTTTGCACTTAAAAAGTGATTTTTTTGTTAAACTGGATTTTTTTAAAAATTACATTTTTAAATTGAAATTTTTAAAAATTTATTTCTTGAGATAATAGATCTTGTTAAAAACTTAATACGTCATTTGTAAAAAGTGATTTGTAAAGAATACTTAAGTTATCAGATTTAATCCAACTATTCCTCTAATGTTCGCAACATCGAAACTTAAACACCCCTTACGAAAATTTTGAAGACTACTTTATTCAAGGATTAGGCTGCTTTTCAAATCACGGAAAAACTATTTCTTAAAGTACTGAGCGGATCATATAAATCAAGAAAGAGCAAATTTTGCCTGCATTTCTTCTTGAATTTCTTACCTCAAGATTTCCTCAGAAATCTCTCCATAAAGGACTTGATTTCAGTCTCATTTAATAATAAACTATTTGCACTTTAACAGAAGAGGTTTTTAAGTAATTTTTTTACGCAACTAAATCATTTGTTTATTGAAACTGAATCTACTATCCATGATGCAGATGTGATCATCTTATAAAACAGTATGTGTCAACAGAACTTAGAATTTAGGAGAATTTAAAACTGTCCTAAGAAAAACCGAAATTTGAATTTCTACTGCAGGAACGCTTCAAATTTTCCTATAAAAAAATTAAAATTTTTATATTTTCCAACAGAATTTTTATTTCTATTGTAACATACACATTTGTGTGATTAATTGAAAAACAAAATAAACGAAATCACTTAATTCAATTAATATACTCTTTCCTTTCTCTGCGAAGTGCGACGAATTGTACTAGTACCGGCAACAGAATTTGAATAAATTGAAAGATAAAAAAATTAGACATTTTTCATTTATTTATGTAGTAGCTTTCGACACTGCTTGTGTGATCATCAGTTTAAATAAAAAGATTTTACAATAGAAAATAAAGCCCAAAGCTAAATGAATCATTACAAATCAAATTTTCGCGTGTGCACGTACCAGTGTATATTTTATCATTGCAATAACACGAGATTCAAAGGTAAGGTGAAAAGCGGAAGAGGGAGAATACATGAAAAACGAAATACATGTGATGACGAGCACATGGATGAAAAAACCATTTACATGATACAATATTCATGCTTCATTGATTCACATAAACATACGTTTGTGAAAAAAACCATGTAATATTGTCAATGATGAATATCGGAAGAAATCGACTGCGGGTATGCGGATGTGGTAGTAGATGTGAATGAAAAGGTGAACTACAACCGCAATCATATCCACACCAACTCTTATACCCAATCAACGATGTAAAGCTTTAATTAAAAGTCTTCAACTAGACTCAATAATAATAAATAAATAAATAATATTACTAATAATAAATAAACCAATAAACAACAATATTAATAATAATAATACTGTATATATATATATACTCATCTACTCATTATCTATCAATTCTTAACATAGTCAAAATATCACATTTATGCTGAAACCAACTCAATCCATACCCAATAAGTATTCATAAAACTTCATTTATTACAAACTACTCACTAATAAATTCATCAAGCTTACATCTCACTCAACGACTAAAGACTCATCTTACACAATTTATTCTGTCCTAATGTGACATATTTTGGTGACCAAGACAAGTTCTTCGAACTTCATAATAATTCGAATTATTATATTTTTTGTCTCATTGTAATTGTGTTATCTTTCATATTTAATTGTAAATTTGTATATACACTTCATTGTGTTTTCCTCTAGTCATTTTGTAATCGTGACAATTGATAATTGTCGAAAACTCGAAATGTAAATATAATTTTCCTTGAAAATTAATAATGTTTTTTTTTGTTGCAGTACTTTACAGATTACAAAAAAATTCAGATGTCGATAATTTTTGCACTTAGTTTTGATGCCACGATATAGATTGCCTAAGGGACTGCAGATGTTGTTAACCTTCTTTCGAAAGGCTACAACCAGATGTTACAGTCACATGTTATATTCCTTGATTCATTTCGTTCTTATCAATATTTGTTTATTCAACTCGCATTCCTTGATGCTTTATTTTGTCTCCATATACGGCTCTCTCTTCTCTCTCGCTTGAGTCAAGTTAATATTAATAAAAAACGAACATTAAGAAGGAAAAAGGAATCTTCTAATGTCTGATGTGTGCCCATGCATTATCTAATTTACTGACGTGTAAAACACATTTTAGTTTTGGGCAACATGACTTTTTCTCAAAGTCATGACTGATTGATTGATGTTTTTTCCTATTAAATATGAAAAATAACACCTGATTTTATATTGAATCGATATCGATCTCACATCAATCGTAATGACGACATGAGCGGCTTGTTCCTACTTCCTATTGACTAACGATATATATACAGGTATCTTGCGTGTTTAATGCATTCATTTATTCGATTTAATCTATTGATTAGAGAATGCGAAACAGGTAAGATACTAAATGTAGAACTAATGTGAAAGTACTGCAATTCGCATATTCTATAGTCCATCTACATCGAACATGGTTACTGTCATGTTAGAGTCGGAATTGGAGTTGGAGTCAAAGTCACCATCCGCTCCTATAGAAACGACAACTCAGCTATCCAACCAATTGTCCTGTGAAGCAAAATGCAAGTTTAACAATCGTACTAAAACCGTTTTTTCTTCTATTATACGAGCACTGTCATCCAATGGTGTCAGTCCCTTAGACAAGTGAGTCTTCCACCTTTTCTAGTTAACCTATAGCGAATATTTGCTTGATAGTATGAATCAAAGATCGATGACTCGTCGTCAAACAGCTGAGATTCAACTTCAGGCGATACTTAATGACCCTCAAATCACTTGGCCTCTTCATTTGCATCGAACAAATGATTTTCATAACGGTGACAACATGCTTACCATTGAACAAGTATCTAAAATGCTCAACACACAACCTTACATCATCGAAAGACTCCTGCAGACATTAAAAATCTCAACTGGAGATGAAAGTGGTCCAACATTGAGTAATGTTGCTGTACAGAAAATTACACGTGTCCTGAATAGCACCATCGATGTTCGTGTTCTACTCCTTTTCTACATTATGGGTGAAAGTGATACTGATTATGTCAGTGCAGAAGGGCTAATACATTTCTTTACACAATATCTTATTAGGATTCCCACATTTACCCAAGATCGATTACAAGAAGTCTCTCCAGTCCTTTTGCAAAAGTTTCACTTGGACAAGGTAAAATATGTACAATGAGAAAGATGTTTTACCTAATTTCCACTTTTGTTTAGAAATCTCGTATTGATTTTGACGAATTCTATGAGATATTCTTGCAAGATCCAAATCTATGGGAATCGTTATCACAATTCACCGTCGATCCCAATTGGTTTGTCAATCGACCAGCGAAACCACTAGAATCGAATTCTGTTCTATCATGTTGCAGTAAATTTCGTTGCCTCAAGAAATCTTGCAAGGATGGCAAGAAAAAACTAAACAAAGACTATATCTGCGATAATTTATCACGCATCATTATTTGTATACTGTACATTCTTGTCAATGTGGCTCTGACAATCTACGTCTGTATCTATCGTGCGAAAATGCAGAAGGCCAATGTTTGTTTAGTCATTGCTCGGATCACCGGGATGTTATTGAATTTCAACTGTGCATTGATCATCATTCTCATGCTGAAAAAGACTATTTTGATCGTTCGCAGCATTAGAATCATACGAAAATATATACCAATAGATGATCATATCGATTTTCATAAAGGAATAGGACGTTTCATCGCTGTCTTGGCTATTGTACATACTGTTGGGCACGTTGGTGACTTTGCACTTTTGGCCAGAAGCAAAGTAGAACCAAGTAAGAAAGATTCTTATTTAATTTTGCCAGTGATTAGTGGCTTCGTATTCCATTTCAACATAATGTATGAACGCAATTCTGAGTTCGCTCCTTTTTTTCTTTAGAATATACGTTGTGGGAATATGTGGTAAGATTAGATGAATGCTTAAATAAAATATTGTGGAACTCACATATATTTTCGAACAAAATAATGAGTGGGAGTTTTAATTCGAATTTCTTGCGGCTTCTATCCTCCTTTCGATTACAGACTTGAATTATCGAGGACAATAGACATCAGACTTTTTAGACTTTGTTGGCAAAATTAATCAATCTACAATTTTGAAAAATAATAAATATCATTGTTCATAAGTTGATTATGATATGTAACAGTATTTTGAGATCTGCTGTAGATGTCATGTATATGTAAAACAAACTTATTCGTCATTTAATTCTATGATAATAGTAATAATGTTAAATTAAGAAAAATGAATTTAAAAAAAAACGAAAAAAAAACGGGCAAATATGACAACAATGCAAACAAAAAATAGGGCGCCTGTAAGAAAACGAAAAAAAAGTCTGTTTGAAATGCAGAAATTAGAGAGATCTTTACTTTTGTGATCGATTATCATGCAAAACAACTAGTCTAGGAGCGACTTTTCACTTTACATATTTTTTTGTTAGTTCGATGAGGCTAGAAAACATATGTGAGTTTCACATTTCAGCCATAAAGGTGTTGCATTAACAAGCTTTTTAACAAATTCACTTCAGTTTACCATGCGACCTGGTATCGGTTGGGTTAGAGATTTTGCCTCGTTAAGTGGTGTCATTCTTTGTGCAATCCTTGCTGTAATGGTCATAGGCTCTATGCAATGGATTCGACGAGGTGGTCACTTCCAAGTAAGACTCTTTGATCTTCATCTTTTTCACTTGACATCTATATTTTTACGCACAGATCTTCTATTGGACTCATTTACTGTATTGGTCATTCTTCGTCTTTCTTATCGTTCACGCAGAAAACACTTGGGTGAGTCGATGATTTAATTTAATATTCTTCTATTAAAGTCTATGTTGCAAATCGATCATTGTAGAAATTTATCATTGGTCCATTATCGATTTTTGTACTCGAAAAGCTCTATTCCATTCTAACACGTTATTCGTCTTATTCAGGTCGAACCTACATAGAGTCAGCCACTATCGAGCCATCTGATGTGATCAGTTTAAAAATACACCGACCGAGAACTTTCAGGTAGGTCCATCGTTCTTCTCCATATAAACATTTTTCTGCTTTCGATCGATATTAACTAATTTCAATTAAAGATTTCGACCAGGTGACTATATCAGCATTAACTTGCCTCATATAGCTCTTTATGAGTTTCACCCATTTACGATCAGTAGTAACCCAGAAGAGACAAACTACATCACAGTACATATTAAAGCAACTGGTAACTGGACGAAACGCGTTTATCAACACTTCAAGCAGATGTCCGAAAGTGATCAGAGCGAAAGTCATATTAAAGTCTACCGTGCCGATCTTGATCCTGCTCGAGCTATGACTGAAAATATGCGTGACAGAGAGACTCAATTTACAGATGCCAATAGTGACACAGAAAATGAGAACGGTCTGAGAAGTATCTCAACGCCACGGTCAATCCAACGAGAACCGGTGGTAATCAATGGTCCTTATTCCTCATGTGCTCGATATGTCTTTGATTGCAAACACGCAATATTGATTGGCGGTGGTATTGGGATCACACCCTATGCTTCGATACTCTCGAGTCTAATGGCTCAATTTCGTGCCTCGCGTACCATCTGCAAACAATGCCAATGTGTCAATTACAATCATAAAAGTCTAGTGGAGAATCGTCGCTTGAACAAAGTTGATTTCATCTGGGTCAATGGAGATGAGAAGAGCTTTGAATGGTTTCTTAATCTTCTTCGTCAGTTTGAAGCAGAACAAAATGCCTATTTAGACTCTAATCCCAATGAACATCGCTTTCTCAATATTCATCTCTTCTTTACTGATATCAAACATGATGAGAATATTGGCAATGTTCCGTTGGATATCGTCACGAAAATTTGGACTCAAGCAGTGGGAAGAGATATTTTCACCAGTCTTAAAACGAAGACTCATATCGGTAGACCAAATTGGCACGACTTGTTCAATAGGCTCACCTTGGGCGAAAATGTTTCGACTGGTAATGATGTGAATGTGTTTTTCTGTGGCCCACCGACAATGGCCGTCAGTGTTCGCGAACATTGTGACAAATTTGGATTCAGTTTTTTCAAAGAAGAGTTTTGATTTCCATCTTTCTGAACCAAGCAGTATTTATAGGTTTAATGAACAATTTATTAGAATGAAAATCATTTTTCAACCATTATTCTTCAGATCCATGTGTTTGTTCAAAAAATCAATCAGAAAAATCTAAACTTCATGACAGAAGAAAAACAATATTGTTAGATGGTGATATATATCCTTCGCTCCACTACCTTTGTTGTTCTTTTTTTCCTATATTTATATATTATTATAACATTTCGATTGTTTCATTCCCTCTCTTCGTTGAAATTTTAGTTTTTTTTCTCTTTTTTATGTGTTCAGGATGATCCATAAGTTACCCGACACTGTTTTTATTGTGAATAAATTTTGATAGGAGCCAGATAGAGAGCTGAAGTTTTCATTGTGCGAAAAAAGGTTGTATCACTGAATAGTTTCACAAATTGTTTAACATGTCCATTGGTCATAAAATAATCACTCAGTAAGCTTCGGAAAAACAATGATAATTCTGTGAAAATGATATAGGATAGGGTGAATCAAAATTCACGGAACAGTCTTTACTTGCGAATAACTATTGCTCATTTTCTCTTGATAAATGTTTTTCGTATTTTTTTTTGTTCTGGTGGTCATCGGTCACGTGTCTCTAGTCGAAGCGTCGTCGCTTCTTATTCGTGTACTCCTTTAGCATGTGCGATCCTTTTTATTTTTCATCATTTTTCTCTGTGCCTGTCTCCTATGTCGATACATTCCTCTCGATGAATATGAAACCTTGACAAATGGAAAGATATGAAAGAGAGAGGAATGCTGAGAAGAGGAAATGGGATAGGCATATTTTTGTTGTTACTTTGTTTTTTTTTGTTCTTTTCTACACGAGTGTGTGTTGGTTGTATTTGCTGAAGCGAATAAAGCTAATACTCTTATTTTGTTTTTTTCTCTTTTCCGGTTCACATTTTACGTGTCATCTTCAGTTATGTCTAGTAATGATGGAAAGTGCTGGACAGAGGTTCACTACAGAATAACGAGTATTTGTGGTAACAAATTTTTATTAAACAAACAACAAGAATGAGATGTATCGTCGTTTTGATGAACAATTCACTCGTCAAATCAGACGTGAAACTGTTGCAGATATTGTTGATCAGTTTGAAGAAAATGGTACAGTTAATGATAAGAAGCGACCCGGGTGACTAAATATGGTTAGAACAGCAGCAAACCAAGCTGATGTTGAGTTTGCTTTTACAAACGATCCCAAAACATCAACAGGATGTGTTGCATCTGAGCTCGGCATTTCAAAAACATCGAGTCTTCGTATGTTATCTGAACTGCGAATACGCCCATGCCTTTCTCGCTTAGTGTTACTTTACTTCAATAATACTATTTTGAAGATTTATTTCAGAGATCACAACAAATAAGTACTAGCATTTGTTGTCCTCTCATTAAAGCAAAAGAAAAAACTATTGAAAACAAAATTGTACGACCAATCTCTTCGTATTCAGTCAAAACATACTGTTGATCGGGAAGTTGTTAAAAATCTCTAGACATGAATATTATCGAATGATGAAATCGATTGTCTTGCTAATGGTCTCGACTATGGCTTAATGCCAAAACGTTTTAATCAGATAAGTGCTGTAGGAAACGTTGAACACTTTTTCCATCGCGTCATTGATATATTTTAACATCATAAAAAGTTTTTCGAAGACTTGAAAGGTAAGGATAAAGTCATATTGAATGATATTCGTATTCTCAACACCAAAGAGATAACTTTGACCAGCAATCTTAGTAATTTAACTAACACTTTCCAACATCAAGTTAATCAATACGAGCAAAAACAATATCTGATCCGCGGTGAACAAAGGCAATATTGTCAACTGCTGAAAACAGTAAAATATGGCAAATCGATTATTGTTTCTCGTCCTGATAAAGGTCGATGAATTGTTTTAATGAACAAAAGTGATTATTTTTCAAAAATGCATGTGATCCTTAATGATTGAACCAACTTTAGTTGCCTCTTTATTGATCCTAACATCAAAAGATAGCGTAGTTTGACAAATTTTTTCAACAGATCAAAAACAAATGGTCATATTTTGGAAGAATTTTGAAATATGGTTAAATCGACTGGATCGAACCCTGAGCGACTCTATGAATTGTCCATTATACATGAGAACAGAATGCCTCTTCGGCGTGTTCTTTCATCCATCGGCACGTACAATTATAGTCTTACTAAAGCTCGTAAACAAATACTGTCAAGCATTATACAAAACGAGGTGGTCATTAAGGATACGTTTGCTTTTATTAATGCATTAAGATCATTACCAAAATCTGCTTCAAAATACAAGATGGTATCATTTGATACTTCAAGTCTTCATATGAATATACCTCTTAAAGAAATAATAGAAATTATTTTGAACCATTTATATCACAATGAAGCACTTCCACCATCAGTGAACAGAGTAGACATGAAGAAACTGTTAGAATTTGCAACACAAAATTCTCATTTTCTCTTCAATGGTAAAGTTTATGATCAAGTAGATGGATTTTGTATGGGATCGTCTTTGGTTTCCCCTCTTGCTGAGATTTTTCTCTAAGACTTTGAAAAGAAACATCTACCATTATGTGACGTTATGGGCATCGGTTATTGAAAACGTTATGTGAATGATACTATTGCGTTACTTGATCGAACGGTCTCTCCAGATGATATTTGTGCCCCATTATCACAATGTCATCCATCTTTAAAATTTACCGTTGAAAAAGGAAACTCCAAAACAAATTCTATTGCATTTTTTGATGTTCTTATTTGACGATAGCTGGCATCGGATTTTAAACTCAAGTTCATCGAAAAGACATTTTTTTCTGGTCTGGTAACAAAGTGGGACACCTTTGCACCCAAATCTTACAAATATAATGCAATGTCATCCATGGTTTATAGAGCAATGAAAATTTGTTCAACTCATCAAGCTCTCCATGATGAATATGAATTTATTCGTGAGGTATCATTAAAGAATGGATATCCGATTGCCTTTGGTGAATCTGTGATTCGAAAGCAACTTAATTTAGTATATCCACCCCATGCAATTATATCAACAACACCAGGAACGGATATCATAGTGTTGCAAGTACCATATTATGGGAAAGCAAGTCAAATATCTGGTAACCGTCTTACGGCGGTAGTCGCTAAACAATACTCATCAGAACAGGTACGAGTTGTTTATGATGTAACAGCCTGAATCGGTCAACATTTTACTATCAAAGATGCAATATCAACTGAATTAAAATTAGGTGTTGTTTACAAGGCAGCTTGTTCTTTATTCAATGAAAAATATATAATGAAGACCTGCCGCCATTTAAAAACACGAATAAATGAACATTTATCAGATCAGAAAAAGGCATGTCTCTACTGATCCAACCACCAAAAACTTTATTAAATAAAAATTAGCCACCACATAAAACAACTAATGGTCATATTTCTCATGTGACAACCCGATCACAAACACAAATGGCTCAACAGTTATCAAATCAAAGAAAATTGTTACCTAAACCTTCGATATTACCATCAAATAATAAGAAACAAAAAAATCTATCTAATAGAAATAAAACACAAAAGAAGGTTTGTATAAACAGGTTAGAAACTAAAAGAAATTAAAACAACTAAACAAAAACTTGAGGTAGATGATATCGATGATATTTTATCAAATACGATTCCAGTAGATGTCAAGAAGCCTGATTCAGGTCCTCTATCAGTCTTATCAAAACATTATGTATATATTGATCATGTGTTTACTGATAAATACTATTCACAGATCATCATCAATATCGGCTTTTGATTAAAAAAAGTTTACTGATAACACAGAGAAGTGCAAAACTAAATGGAACCGATCAGTCATTGCCATTATATATTTACATTGATGGTCTGGAAAAACTAAGATGGCAATATCGAATACAAGCAATCACACTTCCAATAACAATATAATCACACGCATGAATAATCCACACTCAAATATAGCAAAGCTAAATTCTCGTATTTTAGATGTTCTCCAAAACCATAATCCAACAACACCCAATACGTAATACATGAAGATTCAATAACCAAATAATGCAAAGTTCATTAGGATCTCATCCATCTAATAAACATACCATTCACTCTTGAAATTTAGACCCAACAACAGCGCAGAAAAAACTGTTCGTCCCTCTGTCATCTTTCTATACATGTACCATTTTCCATAACACATGCTCAATCATATACACACTCCATCCAAAGTGAATAGACAAATGGAAACTTCTAACGTACTAAAAACAAAGCAAGGTTTTCACGTGAGAAGTAAGATAAATCCTTCAAAAAACTTTTTCACTTTCTGTGACAGAAATAACAATCAATTTAGAATTACATATTTAAATTGAAAGTCTTCCTTAGAGGTTTCTACTGGTTGACCACGACACAATGAAAATATTAATTACTTTTTCCTACAAGCAGCCCGCTCTTGAATTACATATGGCATAATTATGTTTTGTTATGCAATGCCATCCATGTATGCCTACGACAACATTCATTAGATAACTATTATTATTTTTAGTTCATGCGTGATAAAAAAATACTATATGTTGCTCCAAACATATGATATGTCCATTCAAGACACCTCTGATTTATCACATTATTTGTTAAGCTATTATTATTTATATATTAAATCAAACATATCTTATTAATTATTAAACAGATTGATAATGATTGTTTAAGATGAAAAATTCCCAGACATTTGTTAAAACAGAAAAAATACATCATTAAAAATTACACTACCTAAAATTTGTATTCCTTACTTGACAAAAAGAAAAGAGATTTTAAGGGCACTTTGTAGCATAAAATATTGTTAGGAAGTTACTGTATGAAGATAACAAAGTCGAGGGCATGGGTGTGAATGAAGACAACAATTCCAAGGACACTCACATCCACAAACTTATCAGAAGTGATTTTCGAAACATGTTATTTGTGGAACAAAAATAAAATAGAATGAACAAGTGTTGAGTTAATTTCAGGCCCATGAACGACTTACCGAAGAAGTGTAAGTGTTGGTGCTCATCATCACATGGTCAACACCTATCTATATAGGTTTAAAGAGCAGGTATTGCAGTACGAAATCGGCAGTCAAAAAAAACAATTTAATATGAGTTCAATGAAACAGCAGGTAAATCTTTTACTGAAATCGAAAAAAATGATTTTGGTTCTGTGCGCATCTCACAGTCTGTGGGTTTGCTATTTCTGCGAAATACTTCAAAGTTCACTGGTAAACATGCTTGAAACAAAAAAGACGAGTCTACGATAAAGTTTGCGTAGAAGTATGTAGTTTTTATTCGGTAGATACTCGTGCTTCAATTGGAAAATTTATTCATTTGAGCAATACTAGTTTCTATTCTTGACAGCAGCAGAAATGATATCAGCCAGTCTCAAAACAACAATTGGTGATCCCAAGGACTGATCTTTTTTCATCATCCATAATGCGAAATTATCAGCTAAAATCTCTTCAGGATGTATGATATAAGTTGTATTGTATCCGATTTGATGAAAAAAATTACTAGCTTCTGCGTATGGTAGATATTGTAATGGTTCTAATGGTTCGTATGTGTTCTCGTCTAAGATTAAAGTTGTTGCCACTAGATAATCAAAGAAATTGGTGGAAAATTGGGGATCAAAAGCTTGAGACGCATGTAAAATTGGTGTACATTTGTATATTTTCCCATTTTGATCTCCAACCTTTTCCAGTTGAATATAATATTTCAGAACAAAAGGTGCATCTGGATTAGTCATTTTTATCTTTTGTAAACTGACTGGAAATTCGATTGACTTCTCGACCGGTATTTTATAGTATCCAATACTTGCATATAATTCATCACGTATCGTTAAATTGATATGCCATTTACTCCATATATGAAATAATTCGTGAACAAATATTCTACATATATCTCTACCAAGAAAAATTCTTAGTGGCATTACAATAACATTTTCATTACGACAATATGCGGCATTATTTTCATCTTTTCCATTTGTTAACACAACATAAATTTGTGGTGGATAGGTTAATAAATTTAGTTGTTCTACACAAGTTGTATTGATAAATTCAATGCATGATGCCATTGCCTGGCTTGATTCTTCGTCCCAAGCCAAGATTTGTTCTGCAATAAAGTTGAAATAATCTTGCATTGTTGGTGAAGACATATTTACACGGGACTCTAAATCAAACTGACTAAAATTAGCAATGTAATCATCGGTTTTTTGTAATTCTTCGATAGCTTGTTGACCTGATATTAATTCAATAATGGATGAGTTTGCATTTTTCAATACAAATTTTTTGTTGGCAGAACTGTATGATGCTGATGAAACACTACTAGCACTCATGTTAGAAGTGCAAACGAATTATCTAAAAGCAAACTAGATAACTTAGTTCAAGTATCTAAATAAAATGAAAATACTGGAGTCAATTCTTGCAGGAATAATGCTAACAGTCTATGTTGAATGAAATTAGTGCTATTGATGCCAATCAAAAACATGGCTCATTCACGATGGTTCTATCATTCTCAGTTTTTCAACAACAAGATTTGCGCATTTTATATTTCTCTTGCTGTCATCAAAAAGTTGTAACATGGAGCACTAAAGGTCATAGTCTGCAACTTACAGAACAAGGAGATTCTTCACATTAATATCAATTTCAGAGTTCAATGACCATAGACAGTTTTTGAATAATCTTAAAACAGAAAGAGAGAAGTAACTTGAATTTTTCAGATTATCTACAAGTGACATTGCTCTATCCTTTGACGAACTCGATGAAAAATTTCAGTCGCTTTTCTTCATAGATATGTCATTAGTTGTGAAAATGAGCTTAATTCACTGTAGAAACAACAGGTTTTTTCATCTATAATATAATGAGCAAATAGCCTACGGTGTACGTGAGGGTATGAGTGGACTTTCTCTTCATTCACCCACACCCTATGTTGTTTCCAAAGCTGATAAAGCTCATCTTCAAAACTTATGACATATCCGTGAAGAAAAGGTACTGAAATTTTTCCTTGTGTTTGTCAAGAGATAGAGTAATGTTACTAATAGATAGTACGAAACACGCAAGTCACTTCTTTCTTTCTGTTTTAAGGTTATTCGAAAACTGCCTACGGTCATTTAACTCTGAAATGGACACAAATAAGAGTAAACCAATGAGATAGTTTAGATAAAGAGAAAATAGAAAAGAACGGAAAAAATGTTCCAGTAAGATTCCGGATATAAGTACATATATTGATAATTGGAGACAGAAAGGTGATGATAAAAATAGAAATTGTGTCTAGATAAAAAATTACTTCGTATAAAATCTTCGATTATTCGTTCATTAATTGTATATACGTGGTTCTTAAATTATCACGTTGAAGAAATTGTCAAATAGAACTTGAGAATAACATAACAACAAGAACCTACAGTTAGACTGAAACGTTGATCTAAGAGCTAGCAATGTATTTCTTTGTGTAAAATTACAAGTCAATATAAATATGTATGTCAGTTGATCATTTTACATAGATGTGGGTGAAGTAGTCGGCATATAAACACATAACTGCACTTCATGTATATCACTGGTCTTTCTTTCGAAGTAATATAAGTGTTAAAGGAAAAACTAGAATGATGAAATATATTAAACATGTTCAATTATATACTCTATACGTTTAAATGCTTATTCAACTTCATTCAAATTAGAAGTCTAATTTTATTTATATGATTTCAAAATGTGATTGGGATTATGATTTAACTCTAATATAGAGAAAACTTAGCTTCTAGTGTGTGCTTTAGAATATCTGTCGCGGTTCATGAGTTAGAATAAAATAGTACTGACCAAGTTACCTATGATGCACCGCACATTTGATGGACAAAAGTGAAGTACAATGCCTTTAGATAAAGACTGGTATTTTTAAACACACGCTTCCAATTTTTAAGGAAATGCTTTAAACTATCGGGCGTTCCAAAAGTTCCAATGCATTGAACTTCATCGATTTATTTTCTTTTTTTGCATAATAAGCAAATACACAAAGTTTTTACTCCTACAAACAACCTTCAAAAACACTATTGAAAGCTATAAGATTTTTAACTGAAATACAAAAAATTTACTCTGTCTTCTCTTTTCAGAAAAAGCATTGCGTCGCATTTCTTTTTTAACTACTTCGAGGTGTTGAATGATTCAAATCTTCAAATTGTCCAATACTT